CAAATGGTGTAATGTTCAAGGAATGGGGATTTTGCGTCAGCTTAATATGGGAAAGTGCCTCCTCTAGCCAAATACCTAAGCATCGAAATTTTAGAGTCACATCGATCTTCACACCGCACAAGTGATAGGTTCTGCCCAGTTATACCATTTTAGAACCTAAAGCATGTGAATATCCTTGAGAACAAGAACGCCATGTTTCTACTTTCTCGTTCTAAACTCAACCACTCTGTTTACAACACAGGATTGGGGGCAATGGATTATCACCACTGCTAACGAAGTTGTTAGCCAGTTCACAGTAAGCCGCCTTTGGGCGATCAAAAATGATTCGACACTCTCGTAGAAAAGGTTTCAATTTCAACCTTACAGGGTACAAAAAGGTGAAGCGCAGAAGCATTGCCAACAACATCTTATCAGAATCTGATTACGCCTGAAAGGCGAAACTGCCTTAAGCAAATGAGACTGTTTACGCCGAGGATGAAATGCTGTTATGCAATTCGACAGGCCTCAAAAGTCTCATCACTCGTACTGTTTCATACAAATGAACTTGTAATAGAAGACTTATTCCGTTTTCTTGTAGCAAATCGTAAATGAAACCTAAATTTACAAGGTATGCAGCTTTTCAACTTCTCAGAAGAGCTATTCAATCAGGAGTGGACAATTCTTCTAGAAAACTTCTGCTTTTTTAATAAAAACAATCGGAAGCAAAGTAACGGTGATTCCTCTGGTGCGTAAAATAGTCTCCCAAAATAGATATCAAAGTAATAGAGAAAAGATGACATAGTCGGAGGAATTAGTATCGAGGGAGAACTCATAACAGTGTAGGAGGTGAATTCAGCAAAAATAAGCTTTACAGAAGATTATCTTAAAATAACAAAAAAGGTATAACAAAATCAAACTTAAGTAGAGATAGCGCACGGATTGCCAACTAACAACACGAAGGCGGTATTGTCTGAGTAGGACAACCAAACGAAACTCGCAGGTAAAGCAGCATCATTAAAGCGGTTACAAAAATTCCGTAGTAACGTAGAAAACAAAGTGAAAGCGTTGTTCCAAGCAATGCTATAAATATCATCGCTTGCGAAATGGAAAAGAGCTCTCATGATTTATAGCCCTCCTACTGAATGGCACCACATTCCCAGACAGACGATGCCCACTGAAATGCCAAGTTATTGTTCAAACCTCATAAAATTATTAAACATTCAAATGCTAGCAAAAGGAAAGAGAAATTTGCCATGTAGAAAGAATTGTCAGCATGGCTAAGCCCGCCTAGGGGAGGCCCACCTCTCCTTGTCATCGCTGATGGTGAATAAACACAACACCACTGCCTTGATGCTTGCATTGGCTTCGAAGTAAAAAGGTGTACTCTCGCAATCCAGAAAACCTTAGGGTCCTTGTTCGTCGAAAGTAGAAAATGTGTTATGCTAACCGAAATGCGCTAACTTTCCAAACTTGCAAATATACGTGAATGGTTATGCTTACTGTTTCCCAAGAAAGAAAAATAACCTCATGTGCAGTTTCACTGATCTGACATCTCACGAGCTGAATTTTCCCAGGAATGGCAGCTGTGCTGCGAGATGGGAACTACCAAGGCCGCAGTCACCGCTGACAGACGCAGGATCGTCACTGATACTTTTACACGATAAGCGGCCATCACCGCAGGCTGCTCCGTATACACATTATCACTAGCCTACAGTCCCTACTACTGGCATCTGGACTGGCTTACGACACAAGCACCAGCTATAACGACACTTGGCATCGCCTACTGAGTGTAGCACCGATACAGTAACATCCTTTTAATGGTTGGTCTTTGAAGTGTAAAGCCCAAAAGTGGGCCAGCTGAAGCGATTCGCCAACACAGCAAAGCAATCTGCAAGTCGAGAAGATCGAATAGGCAACCACGAAATGGACTTTCTAATCAGCCCTGAAAGACCATTAAAGGCACAAACATCACAGAAGACCGCTAAAATAGCGAATTTCACCAGCCATCCTGCATCCTAAATTACAAAATATACGGGCACGCTTGCAGTGCAGTGGATCGGCCAGGTTAGTGAATGTCTTGATTCCTACCAGGGGATAATGGGTTCCTGGTCAAACAGACAGCATGAAGGCCCATTGGAGGTCGAAGCAGTTAGCATCCAGGAAGATTTCGATGGAGGTAATTTCGCCTCCATTTGATGCGCATAAACTCACCGATTTGAGACGGGTTTGAAAAATTTTGAAACAATGCACACTACATAGCGGTCTGCTAGCAGAAGAGGTAGAGCCAAGTGTCCGCACCCCATCGACTTCTAGTGGTCACTCCGAACCTCTGAAGGCTAATAGTACACCTTCTCCCCATTAACATGCATTACCGCATTTCCAAAGATGACGTGGAGCACCACACGACAGAAGTATCAAGGGTTGTGAAACCAATTCAGATGATCTCTACAAATTCCTAAACACATTATAATAATTCGCTAAGTCAGTGGAGCAGATAACAACCCATCGGAGGAGATAGCAAGTTCAAATCGGATACTACGCCGGTTAGCTAAAACAAAGGTAGTGATTCTTACAGGAAGGATAAATGGCCTTTTCGAAGGGGCAACATCAGAACATTTTCGACTGACGACATTTTGTCGCAAATTTGGAAGTTCACTCATGATAGCCGGAAGTGGAAAGCTAATTCCCACATTCCATTTTGGAATCAAAATTGAGCAAAACATGCTACCATCTATCAGCAGACTTGTGAAAGACCAACAATTTGCCTACATAGCGATTGATACGACCTATTTTGCAAAAAATTGCACCAGCTAAGGCGAAATGAAATAGATCGAGAAGTATTTTTTTGAGGTAATGTTGAGCCTTTAGTGTATGCTCAGTAGTGGTTCCCCACTTCGACGTAACAATCGGTCCGATAGTCTTAGATGGATTGTGCAACGCCAATCTACATCATAAAACACGAAATATACGAATGCAGCAAAACTTCTTCGAAAATTTTAGTAATCACCACTGATAAGCAAACTGTGACGACCCACCATGTTAGATTAACCTCCTTGGAGGGATGCAGCATTTCCAATCCAAAAAGAAGCCACGTAAACCTAGACTAAAAACAAAAATAGCTTATCCTTAGGACGAATTAAAACAAGGGTGATCTCATGTTCATATGGAATCAACCAGCCTGCCAACGAACACCTAGATGATTTGGATTAAGAAAATTTACCCCCATCTTGATGGTTGAAAACGGAGCTTTAACTAATGGCCTAGACTTTTAGATTAATGGCAAAACTGGCTGTGAAGAATGTACGGATGATGATACCTTCTGCTTTGAGTTGACTGTAGCGTTCCGACTACAAAGCCGAGGCAAGCGAACTATCCAGCAAAAATAATCTTTACTTGTAAAAAAATGAGAGAAAGCAAGGTGTGCTCTTCTTTATAGAATTGCGGAATATCACAAATAACTGAACCTTTCCGCACGGTCAAAACTGCCATTAGGAGCACATACCCACAGTACAGCAGCAATGAATAATGTAAGCCACCAAAACTCGTAAATCGCAACATATGCTGACAGAGGTGAACTTTTACATGACCTAGGGGTTTGTGAAATAAATGCCCATTCCTAGGACTTCCAACGAAGCAACACTGCAAAAGTATGTTATTCTCTAAGAATGAAATGAAAATAACTTTGCACCCCTTTACATCCGTTTGCCTGCCAGAAAGCCACTGTAAAAAAACGCCCTGTTACTCTGACTGATAGTGATTTTTCCATTAACAAGTTAGCAATGGCGACTTCAACGTGTTCTCCACCAGCGTCACGCATACGTGACGCCCCACTTTTCTTACCCAAGCCTGAATTCGATTTGTGACAACTGGTTGCACAAAATCGTATAGCCAAGCAATGAGCTAGATCATCGAGATAAAAATAATAAAATATATTTAGAATGTTGTTGATCTGAGGATGATAGTACCGCGCTTTTGTTCTTGGACAGCAGTTGAATTTGTCAAGAATAAATAACAATGTGGGAACAAAAACACATCCAAGCTATAATGGCTGGCTTTACTCCGCCATGACCTTGGTAGTGAACGATCTAGAAGAGATTTTGAAAGAAACAAAGACACAATTTCACCTTCTAAGTTGCTGGTTGGCTGCATAGACACTGTAGGAATCCAACAACACAGCAAATTACGGACACTAATCAGCAACGACCAGCACCAACAACAGTGGAATGTAATAAGACCAAAAGAGTCCTCTGTAATAAATGCACGATACAGGCCCGCCAATGAGGCCATGAGAAGTAAGCTCCTCGAAAAGATAAGCGTAGCAACAAACGAAAACTAACAAACGGTTTAGACAGGAACCACAAAAGCACACAGCTCCGTCGTAATGAAAGATGTTCGGTTTGATTACAATTTGGCTACGCGGTTTTGACCACCATTTAGGTGGCATAACATTTTTTTTATATCAACGGTCCCCCAGGCAATATGTATGTTAGTGATACTTCTTTCATACCAGTAGGCCCTGCTAGCCCCTTAGGAATGAAGAAAGAATCACGCAAGCTCTTGCGTGATGCAAATCACAAGACACCGCAATGATACAGCGGATTAATGCAACAAATTCCTGTTTTACAGAAGAGATGCCACTGTTGCAGCCAAACAAGCACCCGGAAGCCCTCCGGAGACCGAAGTATCTAACATTTAGGGAAATTAAAATGCATATCATTCCCCATTTGTTTGTCGACCGCCTGCTGGAATGCAAAATTACATTCTTTTCGGCTTTCTGATTAGTAAGGAAACGTTTAAAAAGGTGACTGAAAGTGACGGCTTAGTTAACTAATTGGAATGGATTAAAGCGAAATAGGCAAGAGTAAAGGAAATTACTGGGAATTTATTAATATGCAAGCCTTTTGAAGTCGAAAGTAACAGCATATTTAAACGACCTTGCCTCAACGAACAAATGCGATGCACAGAAAACTAAGCGTTAGATAATTCAGGCCATCAGATGTAAATATTTAGAAGGCTTTACTTTAGAAGGTCATCATTCGCTGTACCAGGGTACTTCCTACCTGTTGACGAGCAGTGAGGAAGACAAGGAAGCGAGAAAGAAGGCAGCCCAGGCGCGACATTTGCTCGAGGGGTGGATGCGCCTTAAAAGGAGGTGTGCCTTTGGTAGGGGAGGCGTACCTCTCCGCCAGACAAAGCACTGCGTTGCCTAGCAGCGTCACGTACTGCCAGCAGAGCTCGGCACTACCGTACCTACCAGAGGGAAAGAGCCAAATCAGAAATTGCAAAGAAGTGATTCCTTTCTTTCCCTCCAACAATACAAATAAAGCCTTATAACGACTATCTGGTTTGTGAAACGAGGTTACAGTTGTTGGAAATGCAAACGCATTCGAGCCATGAAAACGGATTAAATACTGTCTCCCCCTAAAATACGGTCATTTGACATCCGATCTTTTAAGACCTGAAAATTGCAAAGAACAAGATCCCATCCCAATCGTGAATTTCCTGGATATCTCTGGCTAGAATGAGTTCCCGTAACCTGTAAAGACTCGTGAAACGCCATTATTTATCTGCAGGCATTGTAAGATACTGGAATACGTCAGTCTATCGGTACGATGCTCCTTGATGTGTATTTTACTACTTTCCTGATGTTAGAGTATGCCATTAGATAAAAAGGACGAGATTCTTGATTCTCTAGGACAGAAACACACTTCCCTATTGAGATGACTGAGATTAATCAAAATGTATGCTTTGTTTGATCGCGACTTCTACCACAAATTTCGGAGGAAATATCAGCTAGACCCCACACATACTGCAATAGCTCATTTTTCTCAGAGTAAATAAAAAAATTTTATTCAAAAAACAATATGCACTCCTTAATATCAACAATAGGACGTGAGTTCGTGTACAGTTATAAATAAAACCTTGGAAATTAACCGAAGCCACACACATTCATAGGAAGCAGAGTTGCCTGCCTTCCTTAATTTAGTAAAATCCGGTAGGCATTTTCAAAGAGTATTTGCACGAAGAAGCGATTTAGTTGTTCAAATCCTCGTTTTGATTTCAAGGACACCTGGGACTCCGCCCTTGTACTTCCACTGGACAATATGGCCTCGGGTCCATGCCAGTAGCTCCGCTCCCAGCCCTTTTATAATACTTATTCTACCCGAGCACTATGTCACCTTTCATCATCAGAGAGGTCACGGGGCGCTACACAAACACGAAGATTGTGTATGCACATGTAATGAGGGAAACTAGTCAACTTCCATTTTAACTACGTCGCAACTGGCCAGATATTAACCCCCACGTATCTCCCGGATTCCCAATTCGATCAAAACAAGCATTTCAGCAGAATAATTTTGGATCACGAAAGAATAGGCACCTGTTGCCAAAGCATAGCCTTCTTCCATTATATCTCAATCAAATACGCATATTCCTTAAAATTTCCGATAACTACGTTATTCCTTCTCAACAACCTCAGATTTGCAATGTAGATACTAAAAAAGCTTGTAAGAAGAACTTCGGACACCTTTCCAAGATCTAAAGCTCTGAGCTTGCAGATTCACCGTTGCCGTCACATAATTCAACGTTGAAAATGCATAATTATGATATCCTTATCCAAAATAGACCACTTTTACGGCCCTCTAACCTGTGCCTGGAAAACAAAACTGGAAAATTGGTAGGCTGTCGCAAAATTTTATGATTCTCCGCTAAATAATGTAAGCAAGACGTGTTCAAGGTTGTCCAGGTTTTCGTTTTGCCTCTTTCACCTGCTCCACCTGATTCCACGTGTAGTTTCAGCCAAATTTACTTTACCAATCCCTAGCTTCAGTTGTGATTTTTGAATGTCTCCAACTCTAATGGTTTGAATCTAAGTATTAAACTAAGATAAAATAAAACCCAATTAAAACAAAATACAAATTATAGTTAAGTAAAAAAGTATGGTGCCGAAAAAGTTTATGCAGTTTTTGGCATGGTTAGTTGCAATGACTAGCTATAAACTGTGGGAAAGGGACTCAGGGAACCCATTCCACCCCAGTCTGAGCGAACGTGCACAGACCATCGGGTACGATATCCTTGCAATTCTGCCCCCTTAAATCCGCATATCGTAGTAAGAAATGACCATCATTGTTAAGTGAACAAACTTACACCTGGCTGTTTGGCTATCCCCACACAATTTACTACACGCGTCATCTACAGGGAACTGTGCTTTCTTTGTGCGTATGCAGTGGACCACAATGAGAGCTGTATACCATACATTTCGTACTGAAGACCAATTCTACCCGCTCAAAAAGATAAAACTGGAAGAGGAATAGGAGAAACCTATTTCTGTAAGAACAATCAGGGCTAATAAACCAGTCGTCGGAAAATGGTACTATTTTTACATTTTTGCAACGCGATAGCTCATTTCGCTGCGAAATTTAAGTGTGGTATTTGCGCTTTGGGAAGGAAACACTATCTCATCCTCCGAATTCCTCTTCCGCTATCTCTTTAAGTAATAAATAGCATTCTTTTCTGGGGTCAGCATAAGCTAATCACGTTTAGAACGGAGCGGCTAGTAGTAGAATTGAAGAAAGATAGAAACGATGACGGCTAAGCTCAGATTTTGCTTTGATTTGTTTCGTCTGGAAAGGATTACAAGACAGAATACACCTTTTTAAAAGGCATTCTCCAATTAAGTGCTCTTCAAAGAAGAACCATACAAAGTTATTATTGAGTAAGCATTCACAGCAAATACAATACGTGAATATTAAGTACCAACTCCTGTTAGTGTAGCACGTAGTACTAATGGTGGATCTACAGACGCAGGAGTTACAATTAATAACTCCACGGTTTCACGAGACGAACTTATGCGATATTTCTCGTAATACTTCCTTTCTTCAGTGGGGGCGTCCTTGCTCAAGATGCACCCGTCAAGACTTTCAGACTGCATTTTCCATGCTCTGACTATTGAACCAATTCAAAACATAACGTTAACCCTGTATATGCATCAGAAAGACTGTTATGGCAGCCAAGTGTATTTTTTACCCCAAACGACCCATTTGGGAAAGACTCGAGACTATTAAGACGACAAAGTTGTGCGGTCATCATCAAATAAACGCTAATTCGTGTGCACTAACACATACATGCAACACCCCAAGTTTCTCACCTGAAGCCACTCATAACGCAGACTTGATACATTTAATCAGAAGGAAACTAATTTGATTGAAAAGAAAAAGAAACATAATGGACTTCCTCTAGGACTCAGACAATGGATATGTCAATTTAAAGCATGCAAAATTAGGTAAATTGCTTAATTAGTTGGACACAGAATGCTAGAGGTGGCACCACATACGCAGGAGGAAGTGAGGTCACTAACTCCACCAGCTGGTACGGGAGATTCGTGCGACCGAACAAAGTGCGACCTCGAACTCAAAAAGGGCTTAGAGACTTAAGCAACAAAAAAAACTTGGAAAAAGCTCAGTTCTTCACCTCCCGAGTAGCTCAAACAATTTGAAGCAATGTTCAGTTCTTATAAAACAACTCATTCTCCCACGAGGGTGAGGTGGAGGGAGAAGAGTGGGTTTGGCAGTCAAAGAAGTGGATCGGCCACACACACGCACACTGCGACCACAGTTTTGGGGCTCTTCTATTGCTATTTTGAGGGTGGCCGGGTAAGCACTGCTAACGCCAAGCCCCAAGCACAACATACCCCTTTGATCCGATTGGACACATTAAAGCACTGCGATAATAAGATATGGAGTTGAAGATTTGCATTTACTGAACGTAAACAGCGGGAGTTTAAGCATTTACATACATGCTCGTATTGGTATGAGACCAAATGCCTCAATTGTATGAAGTTTAAGAAGACTAGGTAATTAACAAAATCAAAACGAAAAACTGAATCGAATGTCTTTACTATCCAACGAGGGAAAGGCACTGCAGTACGATTATGATTACTTTGAAGTTTAGGCATTCTAATTGAGGATAATACTTTTCGCGAAACAATGGTGGAAAATAATAACTGTTAAACGAAGTAGAGATTTGTCTAGTCCAAAAGCAATAGCTTAACAAAAATATTTGGATGAGACCCGACTTTTCACTTAATTTTAATTTACCTGGTAACCTCTTCTATTCGCCTCAGCTTTCTAAATGACTCCAAAATTATTTCCAATCGTGTTCTTCCATTAAAAAAATCACAAAATTGTAATGGTACATTCCTTTGGCTGTCTATCCGATTAAATGTACACATTAAACCTACTTCGAACATAAGTTGTCATCAGTGCCTTTTCAATGACAAGATTATTTTGTCAAAGAAACAGAGCATAAAACAATATATCCCAAGGTTATGCAGTCCATTCATTATCAAATTTAGTCATTTGTTTTGCCAATCACGCAATTGGTTGGCGCAGCACGCAAATATCAATAAAACGTAAAAACCCCAGCCTCGTGAATCATTGCCGAAAAAAGTGTCGCCACAAGATTCCAGATTCACAGAATTTTCGTACGATAAAATATTGAGAAACTAACAGTTTATGTGAAAGCTATTTCGGGGAAAAGTATTTGTCCCATAAGTGATAATTTATGTCTTTTTACTGAATAAATTTAAGTAGTAAATTCTAAATGGGCAAAAACTGCAATAACAGATTACCTGACGACGAAGCACCAGATATCCTGAGCAACAATTGAAATAACCGGTGAGGCGTGGAGTGTTGTTTCCAAAAGTGCAGACTCCTACAAAGAAAATAGTCAGACCGATGCAGTAAATGCAGGAAATATTCCCAAAACTGTTTTGAAAGTTGTAGAAAGTAGTCCCCATTATTGATAAAATCCGATTTATGAAATCCACAATCTGCAGGATTCCAAAGATTTTGTTAACTTTACAGGAGTACTTTACCTTCGGTAATGACTAAAAAGATTGGATAATTAATAGCACTTCTACTCTTGGGGAAGCATCGAGGTACGAAGACAATAAGAGACGACCCATCTAAGTGGACGCTTTCTAGGTTGAACAAGATGTCCCAATTAAGACCCACTTCGATCATCCGTTACCAAAAAAAGAGACGACTTACCAAGTAGGGGAAGACCTCATTTGGTAGATGCCGCACCGATCTGCAAATCTCGATCGTGATCGTTGTGAGGAATTGTTCCACCGATGAGGAGAGCTGTTTTTGATCTACAGGGAAGCCAGGTATTGCATGAGAGATGGGCGACAAGGCGAATTAAACCCAAAAGAGCGATGAAACAAACCAATATTGAGGTTCAAGAAGCGCGGAATGTGGAAATCGGAGGGATTTGGGGTAGATTCATAGGGTTTCCACAACGCAAAAGCAGCTTCCAGATTGGTGAAGAACTCGGCGTAGGCGTTGAATTCGTCGGAGAGCCACATGCTGAAGGCTCGCGAGTCTAGTTTTTGCACAACATAAATATGTCATTAGGGTAGAATGGGAACGCAGATGGTAGATTTGGTAATGTTGGAATGATTTCATACCTCTGCGCTTGGAAAGGTTCACCAAAATGCTGGCGAAAATTCGACAATTGACAAGGGGTGTTAAATCTAAAGCGTAAAAAATGATACATGAAAGTTAGAAAAACTGTTTTAAAAAAGAATTAACGATGACAATCACCACCATTTCGAGGGACCAAAAAAGCAGCAATCAAGAAGTCGATTTTGAGGCGGATTCTGTGATGAAGCATCATAGCTATCGTTTCAAAGGCATATTTTTGAATTCATTTATCAGGAAAAGCTGGCAAATACGACCTTTTAAGACCAAATGGCAACACACAAATGCATCCCCCACCTAACCCCAAACTTTGTTGCAAGAGTGCTTCGTTAAAATGAAATAAAGAGAATTCACGTACTAGCAAGAACAATCGCATTCACAGCAGCAGAAATGCTTTGTCCTGGCTTCGGTGCAACCTGACTAACACACGAGAGTGCCATGTCTGCAGCAACAAAGAGAGATGTTGAGACTTCCTTCAAAAAGTTCTGCTCCAGCCCCGTGCCCACAGAGAACAACCCGCCCGCAAACTGTACTCTACGAGAGAACCAAAGCGATGACAAGAGGCTCTATCAAGTCTCACTCGAGAGTCCAGGAGATAAAGTCTACCACCCGTCGGCGTTGGCACCTTTCACTAGTTAGAAATAGCACCGATTGAAAGTGCTGAACACATCCGACCATTAGGCGACATATGAAGGCAATGAGTTTTAGTTTGCTACGCCAAGTTGGTTCATCACTTTCCACTGACAAGCACTTCTTGTAAGGAAAGAAAGAGTCAAGGAATTGAACAAAATACCTCCGTGTCAATTATGCACTCGCTAAAGAGGCGCTTATTCGCAAGCAGCATGCAGAGGATGAATTCATCCGATAGCGATGAATCGGTGCACATGTGGAAATCCTCGAGGAGTATCTCTTTTATTTGGATGTGAAACGAGGCGAGAATCCTAGAGACCAGTGCGCGAATAAATGAACTTACTGAGAAACGAATTTCCAGACTTGAAATGATAGACGAAGGTCTGTTTGTTCAGCTGATGATGCTAAATGCCCAAGCTTGACAAGGACTAGAAAATGCTTCAAATAAGTTGGTATTACAGGTCCCAAGAAACTGAGAAGGAAGGTCCGCTTCTTTAAGGAAATTGAGGAAATTTTCATTTAAAATAGCCTGAAAATCAAGTTCACTTTTAACAGCTTACGCATTGAAGGGCTGATATGGCCTTCAAAACATCTGAATTTTGATTTTCCTTGCAAAAGCTCGTTGATTTCTTAAGAAGTTTATTCGTTAAGGCAATATGAACACCAAACCTTATAAGAGGCCACAAGCCCACCAGCGACTTCTGATGCCAATTCTGTCAGCTTATGTGGAGTCTCTCCAAAACCAGAAAAATCCAACTTTCTTACAAGATGGACTGCTTCTCGAAGAACATTCAAATACTGTTTCACCAAATTAGCCAAATAATTAACCAAACCTCGGCATCGGATGGAGAGAGAGATTCACTGTTTAGCATTGAGCATAAATGCTTAAGCTGCAAATAACAAATAAAGTGAAGAGACTTACTTTAGAATCCATTAAAAAGTACTAAAAGGGATTAGGGAAGGAACATGTGACACTATCTAATTAAAACCCCCTTTATGGACACTAAGGCATTACGCTAGAAGGCCGTGTGAGCAGACAGCCAGTTAGAATGCGCAATAACCACAAGACCAGTGGTGAATACGTAACCTTGAAAGTTCACAGGTGTAGGTAATTATATTAATTATTTGATCCTAAAAATCATAAGGCAAACATACTCTCTAAAAACAAATGCGACTAAAAACGCCAATGTTAGGCCTGTGTAAATGTGATATGTGCTTGAGTGCTCTAATGCAATTTTGTAGATACCAGGGTTTGGGTTTAAAAGTGGACAAGTAGTAAATTAAAACTAGACCACGATCACATCTAGTAAACTTTCGAATGGCAGATTCTTAGTTCCCTTAAAAGGATGCCAATGACAAACCCGAATTTCTGCACCCTGTTAATCAGAAACTATAAAAGTATTTCACATTAGTTATATTGCACTCGGCTTTGTAAAGAGTTACTTTGACGGGGTCAGGCGATATTTTTCCCTTATCTAATGTCGAGAATTTTCTGCCCCTTAATCTACTTCAGCTTCCACATACACTACCTAGCATGTGAAATACACTGTAAGTCATTTTAAGTTGCAAGCTCTTTTACGTGGCACCCTTACTTTGATGCTTCGTTTGACAAGTAGGCAGGTGATCATGCTGCTTGCATTTGTTAAAACCCAAAGTGGTTTGAAAACGACAAGTCTTATCGACTGGTGCAGCGCATACCATATCAGTGGGTGGATGAACTTCACAATACAGTAC